TGTCCTGGGAGGGGCAGAGGCGAGGGGGAGGGAATTCCAAGCAGGCTCTGCCCCGGCTGCGCAGAGCCTGATGTGGGGCTCGAACTCACGAACCGTGAGCTCATGACCGGAGCCGAGATCAAGAGTCAGATGCTTAACCTACTGAGCCACCCAGGCACCCCTGGCATATTCTTTTCTGTTTACAGTAGCTGGAGGGCTGCACAAAAGCAGGCTGCAGGCAGGGTTTGGCCCAGGGGCCACAGAGAACAGGTGCGGTGATGGGAAATAGGTGCCTTGTACTTGTCATATAATTTGCATCACACGTGACTTTTTGTTACGTACCCATATGTGTGTACACGAAGAACACTAAAAACGAGCAGGGTGATGGGTTTTTCCCTCCGCACCACCCCTGTAACCACCACCCAGGTAAAGATCTAGAACGTGGCCAGCACCCTCGATCATTCCCCCCCCCAAGAAGCTTCTGGCCTCTGCCCTGTAGAGACTGGTGGCACCCATTCCTGAACTTGGCAGAAGTGGGTCATCCACTTTGGGTTCCTTGAGCCTGTCGTGCTGCCCGTGGGGCCCAGCCACGCCGCAGCGTAGACAGCAGCGCCTTCTGAGTGGCGCCGTCGCGGCGTCGCGGTGTTCTGACGCGCGCACCTCCCGTTGCCTGTCTCTCCGCGGCCCTGTTGTCCAACGTTTGCGCCGTTTCCCCCCTTTTGCCATCGTGACCGAAGCCGTTAGGAACATTCTGGTCCGTGTCCTTCGGGGAACATGTTGTGTGCACACGTAAGAGTGAAACTGGTGGGTCGCAAGGAGGGGCCAACGCACGGTTCGCTAAGTGGCCAGGCCACATACAACCTTTCGACGGTGACCCGTACCTGTTTCGGCACTGACACAGGGTGACACAAATCTTCAGTCCCCGCATCTGTCGGGTTATGGCCGTGATGGCAAGAATGAAATAATCCCCTGGGATACCTGCCCTGACATGAGAGCTATTCTTGCTCGAGTCGTTGGCCCCAGTTGGGGGGGGGGGGGGGGGGGGGGGGGGGGGGGGGGGGGTCCCACGCACTCACCCTCTTGTGTTGTCTCCGAGGCTCTCGGTTTGGGGCCTCCGCAGCCCCGGGGGAGCCACTGGGCCGACCCTTTAAAACGAAAACTAGGTTCCCTTGCTCTAAAAGGACAGCCGTTTCAGGGTAAAAGTGCTTTGCAAAAACCAAACCCTTCAAAAGGGACAGTTTGGCTTTTAGGATGTCGTCAGAACCCGTGTCAACCACTTCCTTCCAGACCAGGGTGGGAGCTTCCGAGGTGGTGACCTGGGGGGATCTGAGTAGCAGGTCCTACAGTGTGCAGTGGCAGAGGGGTGCCCCACCCCCCCGCTGCCACCGGGCTCGAGCTAGAGCACTGGGGAGGGGGCTTCTGGTGGCCGGGACCTGAGTCTCCGGCTCACAGCCCCAAGGACGAGGTCCCAGCCCTTCCCACGCCGTCCAGACCGTCGGGGTGTCCCTAGGAGCCCGCCCCGGGGCCCTCCCCGCGGCTAGGCCTCCAGTCCCATCACGGTTCCGCTCCCACGTGCCCACCTGCAGCCCTGCTCCACCTCAGGACTCAGGCCACGGCCCCCCCTCCAGGAGCCCCCCTATGTGGGATCCCCTTGGTGCCGTGGGGGGCCCACAGGTGTCTGCGTTTCTGGCGTGGTCACGCTTCCCTTGTGCTCAGTGTCCATCCAGACCTCGGGCGCTGTCTAGGGAGGGGACGAAGGCTTTGGAAGGTTCTAGGCCCCAAAATCCCAGGCAGAGAGCTGCTTTGCCAGAAGCCCCCCCGTTTCGTGGGAGTGACCTCAGAGGACAGTGACCAGATGGCAGGGGGACCCCCCAGGGTGTGGGCAGGAAGGCGCTCCGAGTGGGTTGAGCTCATGGCCCTACTGTCAAGGGTGTGACGTTTCTGCCGGAAGCAGGGACGGAGCAGGGGTCTGTGGTCACTCTGCTCCAACGGAAGGGGTTTGGAGAGGTAACCAGGTGGGGAAATAGGAGGGGAAACGTGTGCGCCGGGATGGGGATGGCTGGGATTGGGGGCGCGGGGGGGGGCACATCTGTTAACCGGGCGGAGAAGGTTCTGGAGGTTTCCCAAGGGCAGGCCAGGCCTGTACTAGAAGCTGGGAGAAAGAGGGGTCACCGACGGTCTAACCTGTAGCCCTGCTCTCCAGGCCCAGTGACGAGCACCATCCAGAAGTGAAGGCTGATGGGTACGTGGACAACCTGGCAGAGGCCGTGGACCTGCTGTTGCAGTACGCGCACCAGTGATGAGCCTCGTAGGGTCGCCCCGGCCTCATTCCTCCCCTCCCCCAGTGCCCGGACCACCCAAGGCCCTGCCCTCTGCCCTTGGCCCCGGATGGGCAGGCGAGAAGGTCCCAGCCAGGCACCTCTGGCTGCCCACTTCCTTCCTCTGTCTCCCTCTGCTTCCCCCCAACCCCCCCGGGGAGAGCTGTTCTTTCCGGGATGTTCTTTCCCGTAGTGAGGTTGGAGGGTGGGACAGACCTGTCTGGGAGCCAGCTCAGGGGAACCCTCTGGGTATGGGCTGGAGGTGCTCCGGGGACACCCCGAATCCCAGGTCCACAACTCCCTAGCCGCACCTGGTCCTGTAAATGCTCCACCTACGGGGACTGGGACACCTCCCCACTGCGTCTCTACCAAATGTTCTTTTCTCACGAGCGAGGAGCCTGGAGAAGGCAGGGGCTTCCTGCACAGTCCACACAGCGCAGAGCTGAGCCAGCCTCCCTGGGACTACCCAGCGACCCCTGCCCACCTCCCGGCCCCCACCCAGAGTCGGAGTGGCCACTTAGCACCCATCCCCCACCCCCAACCCCCCGCCAACCGCGACAGCCCACTGCCTTCCCTACCCCACAAGTCATCTTGGAGCCAGAGGCTGGGGCAGCTCCCAGGGGCACCGAAGACGGCCGTCCTACAGAGCAAGACTTGTAACCACTGGGATCAAGGCTGCAGGCACATAGGGTGCTTCTAACTCGACAGACTTGAATGTGTCATGCCCAGTGTCTGTAGGGGCAACTGTGGGTTGAATAAACTGCCCTGACCTACAGCTGACTCCGGCTTTGACTCAGAATTCGACTCCGGGAGAGGCTGGGGATGGGGAGGGCTGTACAGGGCTGGGCACTGGCCTGGTCCTGCCGTGCACTTGAACCACTGAGCGCCAGAGCCCCAGGGCTCCCGAGACACCTCACGTGCCCCAACCCCGTCCGGGAAACGGGGGCCCTGCGGGGACAGCAGGCCGCCCTCAGGCCCACCGGGGATCCGGGCCGACCAGGGCAAATGTTGGCCCGCTGTCACGGGCAGCCCTGTGGACGGTGGTGGTGAGCCGCAGGCTTCCAGAATTCGCTCACAGCCCGGGTTTCGGGTTTCGGAATCAATCAGCCCAACAGATAACCTGGTTGCTGTGTTTCTCCTCGGATCAATCCAGACCGACTGGAGAATCCAGGATTCCCCTCCGATCGATCCTACCAAGACAGATAGGTCTTGGGAGACGACTTCGCATAAAGGAAGCCCTGGGTCCTCCACAACAGGGTTTCCACTGAGCGCAGGCAGAGGCAGGATAAAAGGCCGGACCCTGAACCCTGAGCCCCCTGGCACGGAGGTCCAGGGCCGGCGGGGGCTGTGCTGTCGTCCCCGGGCAGGCCGGCCACCATTAAATCAGGATTAAGAGGAGCCAGTGGCCAGGCCTTTTCATCAAGATGAGAGGCCACCGGCGGGGCTGCTGTCACTGGCGGCCGAGGGAGGAGGGGCGTTTGGCCTATTAGCTGGAAAATATGCAAACTGCCTGCACCTCGACAGAGTCCCCTAATTACAGCTTGCTAGATCAGCCGGCACCCGGTGGGCTAAGCTCATCAAGGCCTGGGGGCCAACGTCCAGGAGACGGGCTTGCCACGTTCCGGTCAGTTTGCCTTGTGGGTCTTTGGTTTTCCTTTTCTCTTCCTTTTCTTTTTCACAGGCTGTCCTTGTCCACAGGGGTCTGCGGCGGATACGGGAGGCTGGTGTTCTCTGTGCCTGCCGCCCGGGAGTGGGGGCGGGGAAGTGTCTGAGGGACAGCTCTGGGGGCCGCAGACGGCTGCTGGGTCTGGGTGAAAACCGTGGTGCCCCTGGGCTGTGGGTTCAGCGAACCCCACTTTACAGACAAGGAAACGGAGGTGTGGAGAGCAAGGACCCGCCCACAGGCTGACGGTAGGTAGTAAGGGCCAAGCTGAGACTCGAACCAAGGTCCGACCCACGTCCGTGTCCTCCCTAGTCCCTCCCACAGGCCTTCCGCGGGGGTGGCCTGTGGTGGCCCGCTGGCTGTGACTTCCCAGGTGAGCCCGCACACTGGCGTCCTCCCTCCGGAGACGACACGTTCTCTGGGACTGAGGTGCATTCAGCCCTAACGCCAGGGGGACCGTTTCGGAGCCTCAGCTGCCCGATCTGTAAAGGGGTGGCTTCCTTTCCTTAACGGGCACCCCGAGCCCTGCGGGGGACCAGGCCCCTCCAGGACGCCCTGTCACCCGGCTGGGGGTGATGGCCCCTGTCCTGCTGCCACTCAGGGCGATGGTCCCTCACCCCCGGGGCCTCCCGGCTGCCCACCGTAGCCCCTCCTTCCCAGCAGGGTTGGGGGACAGTTCTCAGGCCACAGGCTGACAAAGCCATCGGCTATGGGGCGGGGCTGGCACTCAGGGCCGGCAGCGGCCTAAAAACCCTTCGGTCAGGAGTCCACCCCGGAGCTGCTGCCGAGAAATGGACCCCGCAAACCCAAGGAACGCGCCAGGCTGGCCCCCGGTGCCCTTCCGGCCGAGCCCTGGAGTGAGGCAGTGGTCTGGGCCCCACCACACTGCCCGGCAGGACGTTCCAGGTTCTGGGGGTGACCAGAACCCCTTCCGGGAGGGGGAGGGGCGGAGAGGAGGACAGTCTGTGCAGTATCACCTCTTCGGGGGCAAAGGGCTTCACCCACCCCCAGACCTTCCGACACGCGCGTCCACGTGGGACCGGCCCCGGCTGCACCCGGTGCCTGGGAAAACCGGATTCAGACGGGGTTCATCACCTAGCAGGAGGGTTTCTGTCTCACATCGCCTCCAAGTCCAGGGCCGGCTGGATCCGGACGCCCAGAAATTCCCAGGCGACGCTGAGGTGGGGCAAGGGTGCCCCCCCCAAGCTCCCCCAGGAGAGAAAGGAGGCCGCGTGGCAGCGGGAGGGCCAAGGAGGATGTGACCTGAGGCTGGGAACTGGGCCAGGAGTCGGAGGCCTCAGCACGAGGCCTGGGCCTTCCTGTGGGGCCAGCGCTGCCCCTCTCGGGCAGACAGGGGCACAGAGGTGGGGACGCGTGGAGGAACACGCGTGCGCCTCCTGGGGACTCACGGTGCCAGCTCCCGCCTCAGCATGACTATCCGGTGGGCTTACCTTTTCTCTCCCTCAGGAGCATCCCGTTTAGACGACAAACATACTGGTCTAAAAAGAAACCCAGGGTCACTCAGGGTCTGACCACAGTGACCGTTGAAGGGTGTTTCCTTTCGGCCGTCCTTCCATGAGAAGAAGAAGGTTTCGATACGCTCTGGATCGTCCTGCACGTCTGCTTTGGTGCTGGGGAGCGTGGGGCTCTGATTCTCTCCGTTGCCTGACATCAGAGGCAGGGGTGAGCTGGCCCGGTGCGAGGGAGGGCACCGCAGAGGGCCCTCAGCCGGACCTGACGGCAGGGCGGAGGAGGGCAGAGTGGCACCCGGCGAGCCCAGCGCCCTGCCACCGGGGGCGGCACAGGGTGAGCAGCGGGGTGGCCATCGCCGGGCAAGCCGAGCTGGAGAGTGGGTGCCCCCAGAGCGAGGCCGGCGTGAGGCGGGGGCCCAGCCAGGGACACATAAGGGGACGCGAGGGGCTGGGGTCTGTCTAGGGCCGCTCTGTGCCTTCCCG